TTATAAAAAATGTTGAGAAGCCCAAATTGCCCAAACTAGTTTGGGCTTTGGGAAAACAGTTTGGACCAGAAACCTTAATTGGGATGTCATAATTATTTGGTGGGCAGCAATTTAAAAATGGTGGATTAGGATGATCTAACTCTTGAATCCAATTTCTTTGTAAAGCAAATTCTGATGCAGAGTATTTTATTTTTTTAACACAATTTAATGCTTTTGTATCAACATCTTTTTGCAAATAGTAAACAGTAACATAATTAGTTTAGTTTGGCAAATATCTTAATACATCAAATTTAGAAAAGCAAGCAAGCTTACCTTCATTTTCTAATTCCACTCCAAACTTGTGTTTCACAACTAAAGGAAAAAAAATGATAAAGTTAAACAATATATTAAACAAATAAATAAATAAAACGAAATGGAATGAATGAAAAATAATTTTTTGTATATTTATTCAATCCAACATTTGCATTACGTGATCTTTACTTGTATCTTTCTCTTTTAATAGTTTCAATTCTTGTTTTGATTTTAATAACTTCTTTTTCCAATTTCTTTGTCTTTTTCTCCCACTCCTAAAAAGAATGTGGAGAATAATGGTGCATAATCAATCTCTGCAAGATTGAATACTAAATATTAATTTATTGAAATAAATACCTTCTCATTGTTTTCTTTTCTTCGTTAGCACTGAGTAAATCAAAAAAAAGTTATATAACTATATATATAGAGTGATGGCATGTGGCAATGATTGCAATCATCACCATTCCTTATGATAAATAATGAATAATACTCAGATTGTTCTTTGTGTGCCTTTTTTTTGGTGATTTTTTTGTCTTTTAGGTTATCTTGTCTCGGCATGTTTTTTTTAAAGAAAGTTTGATTATTTATTTTTTTTTCCTTGATCGATCAACACAACTAGCTATTATTATTATGATACAAACAAGTGTTTTTTTTTTTTTGGAAGCAATTTATTTTTACAAACAAAGAGTCCATCGTACCAAACAACATTCATGTTTGTTGTCTCAGTTGGCTCTGCTAAAGAAGATGAGTCATTTATAGGTACACCTTTTTTTTGTGTATTGATATATGTCTTTTTTTTATAAATGGGGAGTTTTCTAGCAAAAGGGACCTTAGTTCATATTAAATTATTTTGAAAAAATAGCTCCTGAAAATTTGTTACACGAAAAATTGATTGTTTGAGCCCCAAAATTTGTCATAACAAATTTTGGTGAAACGGCCGAATTTTTCATTAATTTATTCTTTATAAACAGCGAAAAATTTCTTATAAAAATTTTTTTTTAAAAATCAAATATCTAGTACTAGTATAAAACATCAGAAATAAAAACCTA